ACAATTGTTAGGTCTTGCGTTTTCAACCTTTTCAGGACTTGATTATGCTATGATATAGTACTTCTATCTATTTTTCTGTTCCTTCTGTTGTAGGTGCATACAATTGAATTAGATTACTGTCGATTGGTCTTGCTTTTAGTTGTATGAGCATCACTCTTGCTGAGATTGGGATAAAGTTGTCAACAGAACGTGTTTTACAGAACGGAATTTGTTATCGTGTTCTCCTTTTTTGTTTACAAAATCGGCTTATTTGCGATTTATTTGTTCAGTGTTGGTTTAAATTAACCTATTTAATGCTGTGAAAACCCGGTAAATTACAGAAAGACCTCTGGAACGTTTACCTTGAAGGCGAAGACTAAGAACAGAAATATTTTCTAACTATATGACACGTCTAAGTGCAAATATCGCCCTAAAAACCTTAATCGCTATTATCCTATATTTGATATCGACCAAAAGGTGTATTTTAACAACAATATTCATTGTCAATTTGTTCTCTGTTATTTCAACTTTATAATTTTATTATTTTTTATATCTTTATGTTATTTTTATATCAGTTTCTTTAAAATACTTCTTTAAAATTATAGAATAAGATAAATAGAGTAATAATTTTCAAAATTTGAAAGGGTATAATAAAATTTAAATAATTCGAAACATTGACAAACTGTTTTAAATTTGTGAAGATTATTTTTTCCCATTACTATTACAATATTTTACTAGCAAGCAACATTGTACAAGTCAATTTAGTTGAATAAAGATATAAAAGTTTACTTTAAAACTTTTTGCTACCATTGTTAAAAGAAAAATGAAAAAAGAATTATAAAAAAATATATGTTAGTATTTCCAAACGCAAGAAAACAAAATCACCAAAATGCTATCTTGGCAGAGTTGAGCTTTGCAATTTGATTATTCTACGAAGGGTTTGTGGACTGAATTTCTCTGGTAGCGGTCTATCATCTAAGGTTGCGCATGGAATTCTAATTCTTTGTGGTAACGCTATAGAGAACTAAATTAAGTAGAAACATTCCATGAGATGCTAGTATTGGCTAATTAAATTTTAGTATTTAAAAACTTTTAGATTTGTTTTAAATCCTAATTTATAAAATAAAGTTGTGTAATTAAATTTGGTTTAGAGTAATTGGCCAACAGCTTCTAAATTATTAATCTAGGTTTATTTGGAAATATATTTGATCTAAAATAAAAAATACCTAAACATAAGCGGCTATAGTTAGCTTAATTATCTTCAGTTGTAAATGAAAACGTATAATACAGTAAGTACTGCATATTATCCAATGTACACAGCATACGTTAATAAAAATATTAACTCATACGTATTAAAACATGTAATACAAAAAAGTATCTCAAAATGTTTAAAGTACAAAGAAAGTGAAAGGAAAACTTTTGACTTAAAGAAGAACAAGTGGAAGAAAAACAAAAAATACGCAGAGAAAAAGAAATTAATAAAAAACATAAAGAAAACAGATTTTTAAAATTTGGCAAATACATAATATTAAATATTGGCGAGTAATATTAAATTATGCAGTTAAGTATTTTTATTACAAACTTGAAAAAATATACAAACACAAGTATGTACAACGATTAGTAAAGGGACAAAAACAACAATAAAGGATAAGAAAGATATCGTGTGACAATCAATGTTCAAAAATAAAGAAAATAAAACGTAGATAGATCACTAAGACCTAAGACCTAATGAAAAGGGATAAACAAATATTGGCATATGGAAAACAAATATTAAGCACAGACAACTAAAACTATTTTTATTAATCAAGACGATTAAACTCGGCCAAAACAATTTATCTATCGTTTATGTCTATTGTATATTTTTAAAATACAACTTACTTCTTTCACAGCACAAAAGTAGCGGCAAAGTTATGTGTAGCTTTACAACTTAACTAAGATACTAATTTAGAAACTACATTTTTATTTACAAATTACAAAATATTTATAATTAAATAAATGTATTATTTATCCACTTTTTAAGTTAAGGAATATAAGGGAACGAAATCGAAGATTATTTGTAAAAAATTATTACAAAAAAATCGTGAAAATTAAAATTTTTACGTTAAAACTCATTTTTACTTCAATTTACGCTACGTGTCTAAAATCAATATACAGGTTAAGTTATAAAAATTGGTCCAAAATGTAACTGGTTTTACTGATGTGTGGTGGAAAAAGGGGTAAAACTATTTTTAATATAAATAAGAAACATATTATTATAACATAAGTTGTATGTTATTACATACGTCATATTGAGTAAGGAATATTGTCGCAAACTTTTTGTCAATCACACTTTTGACTGGAAAACGTAACAAGCAAAATTGTAATATTATTTAGTATAGGTTACTTTACGTTTTAAGGGACGACATGGCATACACTTGACCTATACATGGTCGGAAAACAATTTCAAGAGGTTGTAATGTCAGCGTTAGAAAAGAATTGTATGGGCAAAGTAAGAAATTGTAACAAGAATATTCGCTGTTGGAATAACAACCTTGCAAATGTTAACAATGCAATTGCCACAAAAATTTCATTTCTTTAAGATAGAAAACAGGTACTGCAGAAATGTCACAAGGCTCGATAAAGTTCTCTAAAAGGGCTATCGGATAAGCATTTGATCACACCAAAATGAGTTACACTCAGAATTGTGAAGAGACCCTAAACGAACTTTTCGGGGTAAACTTTTCTGAGTATAAAACTGATACCAGTATAAAAACAGCAGTAGATTGCACAAGCTATTATAATTTTTAGTTCTAGGAAAAATTGGCGTATGGCAAAAGAATTGGAAATCCAGAACATATTCAAATGATTAAACTCATTCATGCCGTATGAATTACTGGCTCCGGATAGGATTTATACAATACCACATGCTAGTTTAGAACTAAGATGCATATTCAGAGCATGGAAAGTTCAATGGTGACGTTTTACCCACATTAAGCAACATCGGAATGAATTAAGTTAGGTCCGTGAGGCCTATATCTGTAGTCTGTGAGTACTAAAGAATCTAGAAAAACTACTCGATAGGCACATTAGGGATGGTGTATTGGTAAAAAGTACAACAGACTAGGGACAGTATAAATATGGGTCAAAACTTGCTTAAAAAAATCTGCATCATTTCGAACAGAAGATAAAGTACGTTTTAAAAAAACAAGAGATGGAAAGCCAAGCACATGGCAAAATGCATATTGGGCGAAAATATCTTAACAGGACTGAATTACGGAGACTTGCGCTGGAGACTGTATCAGAAGACCTCAAACACCTTTCTTCGGAGACTATCGAGTGATTATGAAAATGCATGGTAAACATCCACTAGACATGTGCAAGCTGGTACAGAATTCCAAAATCTTAAAGTGGGAGCCATGACTAAATAATGTAAGATGTACAATAAGCTAACTGGCTACAATACGATAGGTTTAAAACATAAATTCTTTACAAAAAGGAAAATATCATTGTATAAATAAAAAATAATAAATGTCAGAATAAGGTAAATTTAAAAATGTGAAATTTCTTATAATAAATTCATGATAAACACATAAAATTAATAAATGAAACAGGCTAACAGATGATCTTAATCTACACGATCCAAAAAAACTACCAATGAAAAGTGAAACATAAAACCCCAGGTAGCTGAAAAAGTGAAATAACAATTAAAAACAGTAGAAAAAAATGGAAAAATTAACTAATAATAAAAACTATAGATAAAACTATAGAGAAACCACAGGTAGCTGAAAAAGCGAAAGAACAATAAAAAACAGTAGAAAAAAATGGAAAAATTAACTAATCATAAAAAACTATAGATAAAGAATCAGGTATAACCAAAATTAAAGTATTGTAAATGTTGATTCGTAGACAGAGGTTGAAGATATCTTGAACATCAATTAAAACTAATTAGGAAGTACTAAACAGGATCAAAAAAGATAAATAATTGCTAATTACTCTTAAACACTGGACAATGCCTTATCTGAGGCACATAGTGAAGGGAAATATAGAGTACTACGGATAGGCAAAATAGAAGGCCATATAGAGGTGTAGGAGAAAAACAGATTTCTTGGTTAAACATATTCGTGAATGTACTCAAATATCCAATGCGGAATAAATATTTACGGAAACTTTAATATTAGGTCGTTACGTCAACATTCCTCGGAAGAGAATATTTTGGTAGCGTCAAAGCGATGTAAACAATCAAATTAATAAAATTGAATTAGTAACATTTAGAAAAGGCGTTATGTTCTTTAAAACAATTAATTAATAAACCCGTTGCCTATTTTTGAGGTCGTTAATCAGCCAATGAAATCGATATTAGCTATGCCCAACTAGACCTTCTGGTAGTTCCACGAGAAAAAACAACTCAGTGTGATTTGTGTCATGACAAAAGTGAGCAAAAATGCAGCAAAATAGGTGTTGAAGATGCAACCTAGTCTTACATATTAAATGTTTTGTTTGATACTATATCCAAATTTAATAGTGTCTTGTATACCATATTTTGTACGATATTTGTTTTGACTTATTTTGCAAAAATATGGTGTTTTAACCATAAAAAATATGTTTTTGTTACCTCATATAACAGGAATTTATTAAAATGACAATAAATAATTTTTTTTTGTTTTGATAATAAATCATTTACATTTGGACAAAATACGTGTTGAAACAACCTGTATATAACTTTAAAGAGTATTAGATTTTTACTGTAACATTTTGATATTCTTTACCTTAAATACAGTGGAAATATCTTATTGGAAGCGGTTTATCTAAAAACGTCATAAACTAGTAGGAATACTATGTATTCAAAAGTAAAAGTATATGTTTTATAAAAATATAAATGGTATTTCGTAAATTTTAATCTAAAACAAACCTAATAAATGGTTTTTACAAAAACTAAATTTATTTAGTCAAATACCAGCACTAAATTTAGAAAATTGTATAAAAACAGACATTCCGTTAACTTCAAAAATATACACTAACTGGATTAACAGATTTCTACTTACTTTGGTGGCACACTCGAAACAAGTAGTAACAACCTTTGAAATGACGTTCATCAGATTTTTAGTTTCTTGTATCACATTATCGACTTTAGTAAAAGTAGCAGCTTTTCCTACTGTATGGTCCTTAACGGTGAATTGCAATCGTTGGACAAAAGTTGGTACTTTATCTAAGTGAGCAAGAAGGTCCTTCTTATTGGCACCACAAGGAACCTGCAATATATGACCATATTATTATTACGACAAAAATATATTGATAAAAAATTTATTTAAAATGACCTAAATATATAGATTTCTTTCTTTTCGTTATGCAATGTATATTATCTACTATATCTAACGGGAATAAATCACAATATTTATTAAAGGTAGTTATGTTTGAGAACTGTTAGAGAATTTTTTTATATTATTAATTAACCAACAAAACAAAACTATTATTTTTAAAAATTTAATTAAAAATCCTTTGTAATAGGTATATTTTAGGCCCAAACGGGCTAAGTTAAAAGACAAAACGTTTTCGGAAACCATGTTCCATCATCAGTGTCCTAGAAAATAGTTAACGACTTAATTAAAAAGAACATAGGTTAAACTTTTGACTAAGGTTAAAGAACAATGTGGTTAATACTTACTAGGAGTACATGAATGAAGCCACCAAGATTAAATATGTGGGTAAAACCCGATTACATATGTTTAATTACATTTAGTTTTAAAATAATGTTGTAATGATATAGGATTATAGAGTTACCAATGGATTAGGTAACATGGCGACATATGACTCCACGTTGAAGTTGCTAGTCCTGAGACGGTATGTCTTCGAGGACTGTATGAGTGCAACTGATTGGCAATGACATTTGATGACAATATTGTTAAGTTATGACGGAAATAATCACAGAGCAGTCAATGTAGCTGTATGTTTCTATTTAAGACAAAAGTTTTATAACAATATTTTGTTATATTAATTTACTTAATTTTCACAATTTTAAATAACGTTTGCTTTTGTCTTAAATAGAAACATACAGCTACATTGACTGCTCTGTGATTATTTCCGTCATAACTTAACAATATTGTCATCAAATGTCATTGCCAATCAGTTGCACTCATACAGTCCTCGAAGACATACCGTCTCAGGACTAGCAACTTCAACGTGGAGTCATATGTCGCCATGTTATCTAATCCATAGGTAACTCTATAATCCTATATCAGTACAATATTATTTTAAAACTAAATGTAATTAAACATATGTAATCGGGTTTTTACCCACATATTTAATCTTGGTGGCTTCATTCATGTACTCCTAGTAAGTATTAACCACATTGTTCTTTAACCTTAGTCAAAATTTTAACCTATGTTCTTTTTAATTAAGTGGTTAACTATTTTCTAGGACACTGATGATGGAACATGGTTTCCGAAAACGTTTTGTCTTTTTAACTTAGCCCGTTTGGGCCTAAAATATACCTATTACAAAGGATTTTTAATTAAATTTTTAATACATGGTATACAGCCAACTACAGGAACGTAGATTCCTTGTGGATATTATTTTTAAATTTTTATTTAGAGAACGATTTCCAAAGTATAAATTTAGATGACAAATGTAGGGTATTTTTAGCTAAAATATCATAATTAATATCATATGTCTCACAGCCATAGGTAATGCCTCAAACAAACAATTATAAATTTAACACAAGAAATATGCTTTTTATATATGTGATAAAAACTAAAAAGTCCTCTGGCAACATTACTAACGGTAAGGAAAAACAATGGATAGTCGATAAGAAATAATTCAAAAAGGCAGATACCTTTCGTGATTATTCTGTAAGTAAGTATCATGTAGAACAGAAAGTTTACTGCCACTGCTTTATAATTCTTACAGCTAAAAAAATATTAATAATAAGTGTCAAACCAATTTTAGATAACAAAAACTTCGTTCCATAAATTTAATTTAGAGAAGAACACTTTACGATACAAAAAGTCAATTAGCTCTAACCTGTCTGGCTATGTCTTCCATTCAGACCTCTATTGTGATTTTCTCCTCCATTGTCTTGCATTAATAGCTTTTAGGTTGTGTTTAACGCCATCCAACTATCTTATTCTGGATCTTTTCGTTTTCGCACTTCTATCGGCTTACACTATAGATTTTTCTTTGTTAATTTTATATCTACTTGTCTCTTTACATGTTTGAGCAATGACAGTCGCTTTAACAAATCTTATAATGTTTTTGATTTGATCTTTAAACAATTCCTTAATCTCGTCGTTCTAGGTTAGTACGGTTCTAATTAGTGTTCTGTAGAAAGTCAGTTTGGTTCGTTTGTCTAATAATTGCAGGTATTAATCTTATATAAGCATAGTATGCACGATTATTACTGGAAATACGTGCAGTAATTTCTCTACTTACGGAATTATTTTTATTGATTTCTGTGCCTAGACATGTGAAGGTATCCATACGTTTAACGGTATAGTTATCTAGTGCGATATTATTTTTATTGTCAGGTGGTCTTTTGACGGTCACGTA